TAGGGAGGAGGTATGCTAACTTTCGCGCTATCTGGTTATTCTTGCCTTTGAAGGATTCTAACTTGAGCTTCGGAGCCCTTACGCCGGGTTCTCCCCGGAGCTTCTCTTCTCCTCCCGTTTCAGGTCCCTATTACTCATTTCAGAGACAAGATCATCAACAGCTAAGACCGGCCAGATTGTGCATCATCACCTTTACATAAAGTATATCGGGGTTTTAACCGATTCAGTGAACGGACGGACCTTAAATTGGTCACTCAAAATCAGATTTAAAAAAAAAAAGAAAAAGAAAAACCTAACCTTAATTACAACCACAGAAGATCACAAGATTTGGAGTCAAAAGAAACATATGGTTACAAATGTAGAGCATGATATGTGCGCTGTGATGGCTACTGCAGGGAGGGTTGTCCCAAACCATGATCGAAATTCCAACAGGCAGGCCCATTAGAGGTCGTTATATCCAAATTAAAGGTAAGAGTGTATCTTAGAAAACCACTTTTCCTGAAAAACGAAGTGTGGCCTAGGTACTGTTACCAGACGCCATTATTATGGAAGATATTGAGATTTGCTTTTTACTTGTTCCGTTTTGATGAATAGTTGTTTTGAGTTTTGACCCCTTAAGAAGCCACATTCAACTTAAACGGAGGAGGTCTAGCTGGAATTCTGGAAACCTCGAGTTTCTCGTTCCAAATTTTTTAATTTTTACAATGTATTGGAGAAAAGTTCATGAAGATCCACCTAAGAATGCTTGAACAAACCAGTATCTTTTTGCACATATGGTATACTGACAAATAAACCAGAATCATAAACATGATAGAAAACATGATTTATTAATCAAAATTCATGGGTGGATTTTGATTGGTCAAAACTCTTTCCATACCAGTTATTTTTCAGATACCATATGTTTTTCGTATCATAGTCGAACCCTTTGCTACCTGAATTAGAGAATGACCCGATCCGACCCAATAAAAAAAAAGAGTTGGGTTGGATTATGGGTCAACCCATTGATCTGATTGTTAGGTCTAATGGGGATTGTTTATGTATGCTTATAAGCTTTCTCTCTTTCATCTTTACTATTGAGTCTTTATTCTTTATCTCTTACTCTTTGGATTGTTGAATGCTCAAATTTTTTTATCTTATGTTTAGAATTTTAAAGTTAATTCCTTTTAATTTTGACATTTTTCATGTATTTTTTTCTTTATTCTTATAAAATTTCTGTTATTTTTAGGAATGATCCAAATTGACCCATGGGTCAACCCTAACTCAAACTTTTAGGGTTAGGGTCTAACATTTACTGACTCAATCCGAAATTCATCCAGACCCGAAATCAACCCGCAGTGTCTTGACCCAATTTGAACATGACCAACCCAACCCAATTGCCGTGCCTATACCTAAGTGAAGACAACCAAATCCTTGTCAACGACCTCATGGCAAATCTATTGTCGTTGTAGCAAGGAGAGGTGTGGAAGATTTGAGAGAGAGGGGGGGAATGCCATTAGGTTTATTTTGAATTTTTTAAAATCATTGGAAGGTAAATTTAGCAACAATAGGGTAGTTTTGGAATTAATGAAAATTACATGGGTCATGTGACATCACATACAAATGGTTTGTAATGCTAAGGGAGGATATTGTCCATTACCAAAAAACTTAATGAAAA